GTCTGGAAAAACGTCTGCAGAGTCAAGACGTTGGCATGGGGCAAATGTAATTGGAAATTACATGGTTATAACATTTGGTAAATATTAATTAACTTTGTTAAAAGTTTTAAATTGTTAAATTTTAAATCTGATCAAATTTTAAATTAATAGGTGTAGGTGAAAATGAGAATGAAATTGACAAAGATGATGAAATTTTATTGCTTGATATTAGTAATAACAATGAATATATATGGATAAACGATTTTTCAACGAAGCAATCAACAAAACTATCAATACCAGTTATAATCGGTATAATTATAGGAACAGGACTTTTTCTATCATTTGGAAGTTTCTTTTTGTATAAACGAAATATATCCAATAAAAAGAATAGATATGAAAGAGAAACTCAATAAAAATGAAGGAAATAATAATTTAAATCAATAACTCCTACCTAAGGGAGTAAGTATTAATAAAATAATTATTGATAGTATAAGCAACAATTACTAAAGTGTTATGATGAATAAATAATATTTTATTAATGCAATTTTATATCATCACATAAATATTAAATTAATAGGTATTTATTTTAAAGTACCGAGACCAAATATATAACTTAAAAAATTTTTTCTTGAGCTAAATAAGTATTTCAAGGTAATTAATGTTACAAGGTCTTTATTACCACACATTTCAAGTATTTATACGTCAATATTTGGAGTTCTTTATTTCAAAAAAATAGTTTAGAAATCAATTCTTCATGATTAAAATATGAAATCATAATTTATCATTATCATAAAGGATTTAGCCTTTGTAAAATTTATAGAATCAAAGCGATTAAAAACAGAACTTCATGTTGAATTGTTAGTTATTTTATATAATACTTATTATTCAAATAGAAATTAAGCATACAAAGAAATATTAAATGAATTCGCAATTTGTAAAAACTAAAATACATTAAAGTCGTATTAATATTCTATAAAAAGAATAAAAATGTCAAGACTTTTAAAAAAATCATTAAGAATACATTACGATGAAGCGTTGACGACATTTGACCAAGTTCATTTGTTTAACCTACAAAGAATAAACAAAATTTTTCAGAAAATATCTGTCGTTGTAAGAACAATGTAAATGTTCTATAAGACTCAATGTATCGTAATAACGTTGAAAAAAATAATAGAAAATTATAACTAGTTGATTGTTTTACTGATTCTCAAATATTTAACCTTCATTCTTTTTAATGTTAAATAAGCCATATTTTGTGACATAGCATTTATCCTAATCAGGTAATATTAACATAAGTACTGTACCACCATGCTATGATGACTTTGACAGAATATAAACCATTATTTTAATTGATCTTTAGAAGATTTAAAGTATGATGTTAATAAAATATTCATTCTTAAATCTTAAACGAAATTGTGCTCATATGAAACATTCAAAATGACAATATTAAAAATCTTGTATTCTTCGATAATTATATCGAATAAGAAATTAATTAAGATTTGATTTCGTTATCTTTCTTGAATAAAATATTGATAAACGTTCAAAAAGATATTTATTTAAATTGATCTTATGTAATTGTTTGAAGGCACTTACGAGCGTATTTTTCAAATTTTTATTGCAATGTCGTATTTAGAGACTATTAATTGAATTTTTCAGTTCTTAAGATAATTAACGGCATTAAGTACTGCAATAAGGACTATGCTAAGTAAGTTTTATTTAATTTACAGACTTCTAAAAGTTATAACCATTATTTGCTCTAATTAATAATCGTTACGAATGACATTTTTTCTTTATTTACAAATGTTAAGAAGTAATGCTGATTATTAAAGATGGATTCATAGAAATAAAAATAAATAATAATAAAGTCGAAATGAAACCGAGCAGTATTCCTGTTATTTTACCTGATTAGCATGGCATAGTACCGGCACCTTATTTTATTACAATCATAGCTTTTTAATATCAATTAAAAAATAATATAATATATACAAAGGAGCTTGCCAATAGGTTAAATTTCATTAATAATAGATTTTTAAAAGGCAAAATGGCATAAGCCATAAAATTTTATTGAATAGTAAAATTATATAGAGATAATTGAAAAGGTACATGAAAATAATTAAAAAAAAGAAAAAAAGAAAAGAAAATACATATAAAGAAAATAACTTAAGAGCCGTCACAAGTCTGTAACTGCAAAAGCGTGCGGATAAACCACAAGTTAACAGACTGAAACGTGCGACAGCACTTAAACTAAAAAGTTAGTAATTTAATAATGAAACGAACTGCAATAAGAAAAATGAAATGTTTGCTTCTCTGTTGTAGTAAATTATCTAAAAAACGCCATGAGACCTGAACTTTTTCTAAGCAACGTGCCAAAGCTCTGTTCTGTTCTTTATAACCTTATATTTATCTAAGAGAGTCTTCATATTTACTACGAGTAGCAGCTTACGACATCCCTCCCTAAGAAAAATATCAATAATATATTATTCATGAAGTTGAGCATGAAAGGGAAAGCCATACTCCCTGCTTATTTGTAGAAGTTGTTCCAGTCTAAGCTATCGAGACGTTGTTGATTGCTGGTTGCGAAGGTTGCTGGCATTTTCAAAAAAGTAGACTATGGAAAATAGAAGAGACTTTAATAAAATATATTTAATCAAAAAAAGTGTCGTGGGAAAATCCTTTCCTATTGGCTGATGATCATTGCATGGAACAACATTTCAGATTTTGGAGATCGAATTTTCACGAAACGGTAATATTTCGATAGGTTGCGCCTTAAATTTTTTTTTATAATCAAATGAAAATAAGGAGTATACATTTATACAGTAACTTTTTTGCATAAGGCGAAACAAATTTCCATTTTACAATTTCTTCTAAATTTGTAATTTGATTTAAATAAAGAAATTTATAAGACTAAAAAAATAAACAAAATAATAATGAACTGTATTAGCGTTAAACCTTGTTAATGTTCAACATTCTTGATTTTATTAGTCAATAAACGAAGAAGTGGGCAAATGTAGAAGTAGGAAAATATGGTATACATTCATTTGTTTTTCGTAATTTATCATTTTCTTTTTTTTTTAATTTTCTCGAACGTGATTGGGGACCAACTTTAATTGTCAGTCATCTACAATTGAAAAAGGACCAGTACAACTGCTCGTGAATGTGGTTTCCTTTGTAAGGGTCTGCGATCTTTCTGTAGAAGGAATTGCTATATCATCTTCCCTTCTGTGAATCAAAAAACTGCATTGTATGAAAATATTGAACTTTTAATAATCTTCTAATAAAATTATAAAAATCTATAATACAAAAGAAACATCAAAGTAAATTTTTTATAATACTATAAATGATTTAATTTTTATCAAATTGATGTACCAATTTTATTTATCTAAAATATATATAATTAATAATGATATAAAAAATATGAAAGATTATAATATTTAATCTCTGATGATTTAAAAAATTGTTTTAGCTTTAATTTCTTTTTTAAGAGAATTTTAAATAAAAAAAGAAGAGAATTAAACCTAATGGGATTCACCTCGCAACCCTTATAAAAAACGATGTTAGATCGAAAGTTAATGAAGCCGTGAAAATATTTAAATTAGTTTTTAGCAATATTTCGTAATAGTAAATTAAATACAGTAAAATATTTTTTTTTTTAGAGTTAGGTAAAGGATATTATTAATGACAATGAAAACTAAAAGGTGTAATTGAAACAATGCGAATTCATTAAAAAAAAGCTGTTCAACTTTTGATTTCCAACTTCGAATTTTGACATTTATTATCCAATAAAGATGATTTCTTACCCATGCTGATTATCTCTTTTTTTTTTTAGTTAAAAATGTCATTCTCTTTAAAATATTATTTCAATCAGAAAAGAGTTCTATTTCCTTCTAATAATTTATTTATAAATTCAATACACAGGATTTCGATTAAAAATAATATTCCTCCTTTAAATTTAATTCAACGAAGTTATAGAAGAGAAGTTGATTCAACAACCCTTTCAAATATTTCAAATAACACAGATAGTACTTCAAATATTACAAAAAATACATTAGTTGATAAAGATTATGAAAAAAGAAGAAGAAAACATCAAAGAAGTCAACGGAGAGTACAAGAATTCTTTGAAAATAATTTAAAAAATGAGATTAATTTTAAAGCATTAGAAGGTAAATAATACATAATTAATATATATTTTCTTTTTTTTTAAAAAAAAAAAATTTAAATTTCTTTTTTGTAGATTTTCCCAATTGGCTCAAATGCTTTAGATTACATAAATGGGCCCCATGTTTTGAAGGGATGAAATGGCAAGAGATTATCGAATTAAATGAAAAAGACTTGGTTAAATTAGGTGTTTCTAAAAGTTATGTTAGATTTATGTTGTTAAAGGATTTTCAAAAGATTAAAGCTGCTTTGGTAAATATATTTTTATATTTTTTTTTTGAAAAAAAAAAGTTGAATTAAGAATTCTTATTTTTTTTTTTTTGTTTTCAGTCCAAAAATAAAGCTTCAGCCTCTGATAAATGTTGAATAAAATTATTTTTCGTTATAATCTGGAGAAATATTAATTTGTCAAAACAAAGAAAGCCTTGATAATGTTGATTTACTCTAAAAAGAGTTCTCATTTTTGACTTTTTTATAATATATCGTAGAATTTACAACCTGAATATTTTTATTTTATTTATTTTTTTTTTTTTTATAAAAATAATATAATATTCATGCCTAAGCATTTATATATACGTGATATTTATTCATTTGAATATAAATAATACAATGGTTATCTTTTTTATGATATATAAAGATTTATTCCAGCGAATAATGCTTTTACATATCTGATTGTAAACTCCAAATATATTTTTTTAATAGGAAATAAATAAAATAATTTAACAAAAATTAATAGTATTAATAGTCCATTATTATTATTTTTGTACAAAACTAAAAAATTAACAAAACTCAAAATCAGAAAATAAACTATAACAACATTTTTTTTTTTTTTAAAATTTGCAAAATGTTCGTCATCTACGTCTCTTTTACGTATCTGGTATTGGTGGAGTATCTTCTTTGAGTCTATTCAATATATTTTCGGCTTTCATTGCAATTGACATATTTCTACCTAAACGTTTTTCTTTGCCACCACGTCTCCTTCGAGATCGAGAATCCAAATCTACTCCATCTCTTAAAGATTCCAAGAGATTGTCCATAAGATGTTTTTCTTCTACAGAATCTTGTGAAGCTGAACTGATATTGACACTTGGGCTCGGGCGAGCATGTTTTTTGCGATTTTCCGCTTCCTATTTAATCAAAAAATTTTTTTATTAATAAACAGAAAATCAAACACAACCAAATATTATAAATACCTCTTTTCGTTTTTGAATTGCCAATTCACGTTCACGTTGTTGCTTGTTCTCATTTCTTGCTTTCTGTAAACATAACTTAAATTATTAAATGTAAGAATTAAAAACGCGGGTGAAACAAAAACAAACCTCAAATGATGTAATAAATGTTTTAAACACTCCAAAGAACTCATCAGGTTTAGTATTTTTTGGATCTTCACCAAAATATGCTACTACATCTTTATAAGCTACTTCCATAGCAGTATATTTAACCTGAAGTTCTTCAAACTTCTGTTGCGAATTGATGACAAAGCTTTTCATTACAATAGGGAACCTATCATTTTTTTCTAATTCGACATCTGTAAAATGTTTTTGAAGTTCAACAGAAAGATCATTCAACTTTGTTCCCATAATTCTATATTCATTGGTCATCTCTTGTTGTGAAACTATAATAAAAAAATGTGTTAATTAAGGTTAAAAATATAAATCAACAAATTGAAAAAAAAAATTTAACCAACCTCTGCATGCAGATCCACAATCTTTTAAATCATCAATAAACTGTAATACATGTGGTAATTTATCCTCAACAATATTTGATAGGAAATGAAGTAATGTGTGCGAACTACTATGAGTTGCCTTAGTATCAACAAGCTAATCGATTTGCAGAATAATATTAAAATGAATAGAATAATACACTGATTAAAGAATTATATAAATACTTAATGCAATTCTTACTTTATTAATACTAGAAATTTTGATACCGAACGCGCCACCTTTATGAGTACTCCCATTCATATAATTACCCAGTAATAAAATAAGCTAATAATTAATTATAAAGTTAGAAATGAATAAACTAAATAGAAATTAACAAATATTTAACAAAGGTTTATTAAAACTTACACCTAAAAGTTCTTTAAAATGTTTAGATTCTTTGAGTGCTATTGAGGCATTCAATATTGATAAAACGGACTATAAAAATTAAAGAAAGCCGTTAATTGCTTGAAAAAAAAAAAATAATGTGTAATTACTTTTTCAAAGTACTAACGTTATCAACATCATCAAACTGCTCTTTAAAAGTAACATAGAAATACATGTACTTCAAACGTTGTTCATATCGATGAATCTTCATGACTTCAACAAAGAATCTATCAGCATAAGCTAAATTTTCAAGCACATCCTCTGGTGCGTCTTTATATGTTGACAATTTACCACGCTATAAATAACAATAGAAAGAAAAAAGTTTTGATAAGGAAAAAGTATAAAAAATGATAAAAAAAAAAATATCTTAATCGTAACTTAACCTCATCGGCAGTTGGTATGTATAACATTAACTGATTTAGAAGATTCTCTGTACAAAAAAGTTCATCCATTTCGATGATCTTTTTATGAATTTCTTCAAATGTAAAATTTTTATAACGACCAAGGGCAACATCTTTATAAAATTATATTCATGAATTTAAATATTAATAACTAAAATATATTTAATAAAATAATGAAAGAAAGAAATCACTTACTAATGTTTTGTGCACGTTTATGCTAATTGAACTATTCAAATCTTGATCAGGTACTCGCCGATCACGAACAATTTGAGTAATTAAAGCGTTAATA